TTTAAGATTTGGTACAAAGACAAATTATTAATGGTTTTAAGTTAATAAGTTGGTCAATTTCAAGKTTGACTTTGACTCAGAAATAATCATTGCTTCATAAAACTCTGTGTGAGTGTGTGTTTTATTTATTTATTTTTAAAGTAAAGATTTAAATACCGTTCAGGAACCGGTACCATTTTGAAAGTATTGATTTAGCACCGTTATCGAAATAAACCCTTTCAATGCCCAACCCTAGTCACCACACTATTAGGAGTGGCAAAATCTACAGTTTGGTTCAACCTAGTGTTGAACGATTATTGACTGTAGATATACAGTATATCATGATAGAAACGGCTCAATAACTGACTTTTTAAAACTCAATGGATATACGTTACRTCAGTGTGTGATGCCGTTCACCACAGTTCTCAGAGCTGTTTACACTAACAACACTACCTGCCCACAGTGGGTGTCAGCACCAATGGAAGGGCTGATAAACGTTCAGAACACATCACATCTGRTAAAGTTCCACTCTACAACATTCTGAGTGGATGGAAACACATGACACATCAGCTGTGTCGAGCAAAGCAAAGCTGATGCTACAAACACAAAGACACAAACTAACAGCAACTGAAACCACAGCAGTAAAGAGCTGGCAGAGCATTAAAGAGGAGAACAGGTCCATGAGGTCAGACTCCAGACAGTCAGTGACAACAAAGGCTTTTCAACAAGGAGGAGAAATGAACATTTTTATAATTATTTCATTTCTCCAGTTATTTTCATCCCCTTTATTAAAGGAATCGTCTTTTAAAAATGCACTAGTTTCGCACATTTCTATAAAAACATTTTACACAACCCACTGAATTAAAATTGAAAATCTTCAATTGYATCTGAAAGGTTTTGTTCAAAATTCATTATGGTAACATTCAGAACYAAAATAAAGAAAATGTCTCAGTTTAATAGATATGGACCTTTTTCTCTATTTTAAATTGATCTTATTGTTTACATTTCTGTGTTGCTTTGTTGTTTTATTCATTTGGCTGAATTGTGAAGCACTTTGGTCAACTTTTGTYGTTTTTATGTGCTAWATGWRKMAWGTGGCATTGACTGAGTGTATGTAAAATGTTTGTTTTTCACCACCAGATTGAGATGCTGAAATCTACCATTCAGGACATGGAAAAGGAAAGAGACTTTTATTTTGGTAAGTTGAGGAACATCGAGCTGATTTGCCAGGAGAAGGAAGGCGAGGGCGACCCCACCCTGCAGAGGATCATAGACATCCTCTATGCAACAGATGTGAGTTTCTTTTTTTAATAATGAAGTGTACCTCAGCAGTTATGTTCTGGGTTTTTAAGCACAGTCATCATAAAGATGTCACCATTTTGCCAAACCTAAAATAATCTTTTTTGTTTCTTTATTTAATATTTCTGTGAATACATGTTAAAAAGTAAAGTAAAAGTGCCATAAAGCAGGAACAGCTGGTATATGATAACTGGTAATGAGTCTGCAGCGCTGCAGAGGAGTCCTCTCTCACTCATCTTCAGGATTGTTATAACAGGAAGCCAGCAGATAAAAACAAGCTTCAGCTTCTCTACAAACTGATCAMACTAGAGGCCGGCCGATACTTTCATGTGTATAATTACTAAATACCTGAAATGTAATCTTAAAAACTTTTTTGAAGCCCATCTTTGAGCTTTAGCAGCAAAAACCACGATTTTGTGCAGAGAAACCTAAACTTTTTGTCCTTTTTCCAGCTGGTAAATCTTAATAAAAATAATGTTTGAGGTTTCCTCTTTTTTTTAATGATGTCCAACGTTTGTCATTAGAATAAGCTAAAGTAGGATTCAAAGCAGATATCACTGGGWTGTCCTCAGTGTTGWATAAAGTACCACAAAGAGATACTTGAGTAAAAGTTTTGATTTAAAATGAGCAGTTAGATTTTCTGTCAGGACATTTATTAAGACGTGACCTCCACAAAACAATGCAGAAATTACAATATTGTATTAAAAAATTAATTTAGGTGAAATTTAGTCCAGCTGTTTCAGTTTATATACATATATCAAGGCTGCACAAAGCTTTTCCCCAAAATGAAAATCTATCTGAGGGCTGCGGCCAAATGTAA